AGGCCTGGACTCTCCCCAAGACCCTTCAGGGGAAAGTTCTCATGGAGCTGAAGGCAACTTGGAAAGTGATGGGGATTGTTTGCTGGCTGAATCTGAAGGGGACAAATGTGGGCTTGAGAGGGATGAGACCCATTTCCAGGGTGATAAAGAGAGCAGAGGCACTGGGGAAGGGCTGGAAAGGAAGGATGCCAGTTTCCTTGACAACTTGGACATCCCAGGAGGTGAGGAAGGTGGTGGGACTCGCTTCTGCGATGGCCTCACTGGGGTGGATGAAGACCAGAAGCCAGCCACTGGCCAGCGCCACTCCTCTTCCCACTCTGCCGATGCTGTCATTGGCTGGGAGGCTGAGGCCGCTCACACATGCTCTGAATGTGGGCATTCTTTCCCCCATGCCACTGGCCTGCTGAGCCACAGGCCCTGCCACCCACCCGGCATCTATCAGTGCTCCCTCTGCCCGAAGGAGTTTGACTCTCTGCCTGCCCTCCGCAGCCATTTCCAGAACCACAGGCCGGGGGAGGCGACCTCAGCACAGCCTTTCCTTTGCTCCCTCTGTGGCATGATCTTCCCCGGGCGTGCTGGCTACAGGCTTCACCGACGCCAGGCCCATAGCTCCTCTGGCATGACTGAGGGCTCAGAGGAGGAGGGAGAAGAGGAAGGAGCGGCAGAGGCAGCCCCTGCCCGCAGCCCACCACTGCAGCTCTCGGAAGCAGAGCTGCTGAATCAGCTGCAGCGGGAGGTGGAAGCACTGGACGGTGCAGGGTATGGGCACATCTGTGGCTGCTGCGGTCAGACCTACGATGACCTGGGGAGCCTGGAGCGCCATCACCAAAGTCAGAGTTCTGGGACTACAGTAGAAAAAGCTCCCAGCCCCTTGGGAGCAGCAGGTGATGCCACAGAGATGGTTGTGGACAGTATCTTGGAGGACCTAGTGACTTCTGTCTCTGGAGAGGGTGGAGATGCCAAGTCTGAAAAAGGAGCAGGCACCCCCTTGGGAGACAGCCTTTGCATGCAGAGTGGGGAAAATTTGCTGGAGGCTCAACCCCGCCCCTTTCGCTGCAACCAGTGTGGCAAGACCTATCGCCATGGAGGCAGCCTGGTGAACCACCGAAAGATCCACCAGACCGGAGACTTTCTCTGCCCTGTCTGCTCCCGCTGCTACCCCAACCTGGCTGCCTACCGTAATCATCTGCGGAACCACCCTCGCTGCAAAGGCTCTGAGCCCCAGGTTGGGTCCATCCCAGAGGCAGGTGGCAGCAGTGAGCCCCAGGTTGGGCCCATCCCAGAGGCAGGAGGTGGCAGTGAGCCCCAGCATATGGCAGAGGAGGAGCTGGGGCAGGCAGAAGTCGAGAAGCTTCAGGAAGAACTTAAAGTGGAGCCCCTGGAGGAAGCAGCGAGGGTGAAAGAAGAGGTGTGGGAGGAGACCACTGTGAAGGGGGAGGAGATAGAGCCCAGGCTGGAGACTGCCGAGAAGGGCTGTCAGACTGAGGCCAGCTCTGAGCGGCCATTCAGCTGTGAAGTGTGTGGCCGTTCCTACAAGCATGCTGGCAGCCTCATCAACCACCGGCAGAGCCACCAGACCGGCCACTTCGGCTGTCAGGCCTGTTCCAAGGGCTTCTCAAACCTAATGTCCCTCAAGAACCACCGGCGTATCCATGCAGATCCCCGACGTTTCCGCTGCAGTGAGTGTGGGAAGGCCTTTCGCCTGCGGAAACAGCTGGCCAGCCACCAGCGGGTTCACATGGAGCGGCGTGGGGGTGGTGGCACCCGAAAGCCGACTCGGGAAGATCGGCCCTTCCGCTGTGGGCAGTGCGGGCGGACCTATCGCCACGCTGGCAGCCTCCTGAACCATCGGCGCAGCCACGAGACGGGCCAGTACAGCTGCCCCACCTGCCCCAAGACCTACTCCAACCGCATGGCTCTGAAGGACCATCAGAGGCTGCACTCAGAGAATCGGCGGCGGCGGGCAGGACGGTCCAGGCGCTCAGCTGTGCGTTGTGCCCTCTGTGGCCGCGGCTTCCCTGGCCGGGGATCTTTGGAGCGGCACTTGCGGGAGCATGAGGAGGAGACAGAAAGGGAACCAGCCAATGGCCAGGGAGGCCCGGATGGCACAGTGGGCAGTGAGGCAAGTCTGGCTGGTGACCCAGGACTAGAGGCCCGATTGGGTGGTACTGAGCCAGTGCCCCAGCTGGAGGATGAAGTCCCGAGACCAGGGGAGTGCCGTCAGAGCCCCCTCAGGGCAGTGGGCTCAGAAGCCCCAGAGTCACTGTCCTGGGGCACAGAGAAGGCAGGTGGGTGGCCAGGAGGTGGGGGACTGGGGAATCACAGTGGAGGCTGGGTTCCGCAGTTCCTGACCAGGCCAGAGGAGCCAGAGGACAGTGTTCCCAGGAGTCCTTGCCATGCTGGTGACCGCCAGCTCAATGGACCTAGTCTGAGTCACATGGATAGCTGGAACAACAGCTCTCAGCTGCAGCCAGGGAGCCACTCCTCCTCCTGCAGCCAGTGTGGCAAGACTTACTGCCAGTCTGGCGGCCTCTTAAACCACAACACCCACAAGACAGACCGACACTATTGCCTACTCTGCTCCAAGGAGATCTTGATTCCTGTGGCCACTAAGAGCCACAGTCACAACCACATAGATGCCCAGACCTCTGCCTGCCCTGACTGTGGCAAGGCCTTTGAATCCTACGACGAACTGGCCAGCCACCTGCAGGCTCATGCCCCGGGTCACAGCCAGGTGCCAGCCCAAATGGAGGAGGCCAGAGATCCCAAAGCAGGGACTTGGGAGGATGAGGTGGGCCTCCCTGGTCAAGGGAAAGCCCAGGAGGCCCCATCAGAAACCCCCAGAGGCCCAGAAGAGAGTGCAGAGACGTCCATGGTAGCTGAGGACAAGGAGCGGCCCTTCCACTGTGCCCAGTGCGGGCGCTCCTACCGCCATGCTGGCAGCCTGCTGAACCACCAGAAGGCCCACACCACGGGGCTATACCCCTGCTCCCTTTGCCCCAAACTTCTCCCCAACCTGCTGTCTCTTAAGAACCACAGCAGGACCCACACGGACCCCAAGCGCCACTGTTGCAGCATCTGTGGCAAGGCCTTCCGGACAGCTGCCCGGCTGGAGGGCCATGGGCGGGTCCACGCACCCCGGGAGGGGCCTTTCACCTGCCCCCATTGTCCCCGGCACTTCCGCCGCCGAATCAGCTTCATGCAGCACCAGCAGCAGCACCAGGAGGAGCGTACAGTGGCCAGCTCTGGTACGGGGGCATGAAGGGCTTGGGTGGAGGACTGAAGGGTCCCAGGAGGAGGTGGGCACATGGTGGAGGGTAAAATCCGGCCCCAAAGCAGATGGGGGAGCAAGGAGTGAGAGGAAGGAGTCCCGGGGATTCTAAGAGGTGGGTAGGGGCTTGGCTATGGGGTGAGTGAATTAGGCTGAGACTTTGCTAAATTTTCCCCCCCCGGGGGCGGTGTAACAAATAGCAGGGTGGCTTGGGCAGTGCATGGGCGCATGGTTGGGCCGAGGCTGCTGCTGGGCTCTGCCATTACACTGTAGCCAGAGAGGAATGGTCTTTGTGTTTGGCGGAAGGTCACTGGGTACCCCGTGGCTACTGCATCTGGAAACCCTCCTGAGTCAGCCAGTAATGATTTCCAGAGAAAAAGAGGAAGCCATTGGTTTGGTCTAGGTTCCGTTCTTTCCTAGAGCAGGCCGGGTGCCAGGGAATGAGGGATGGGGCATGGGCTTCATGGCTCCCCTGCTGACTTGGCCATGGAAACTGGGTCACTGGTTGGCACCCTACTCCTTGTCCCTCTTTCTCTGTGCCCTATCTCTGCTGCTCCTCTCTTCTTGGAAACTAGACCTCTGGTCCTTCCCTGTTAGTGTTGTTCCATTGCTTCTCTAACCTTTATTCAGCCCCTTTTCCCTCTGCTGCCAACGTCTTTTCAGGATCCAACCAAACCACCTTTTCCACTTGTGCACCACGACACCCTCTGCACACCTTTAACTGGAGAACTGAGTCACAGATAATTGTTTCCTTGAAGTTCAGGCCCAGCTGCAGCAACAACAGTCATTAGCCCGTGTCACATCCCTCATCAGAGGGCATCTCTGTGGGGAATCGCCTCCACCCAGCAATGCTGCAGGCTGCGGCTGCTGGGGAGTGGGGCGGCCAGTTCCCTCAGCAGGCCCTGGGCTGCCCTCACCCTCCTCTAGTAGAGGCAAACCTGTTCCATCTAGTGGCCCCCGAGGGTGGGTGGCCCTGAGATGGTGGGCCCTTGTCATAGTGGAGGGTGGGGAGGAGTCACCTGAGAGCTGAAGGAATGGCTTTAAGAATAGAAGATTTCTCATGACCTCAAGGGATATGAGCGAGAAGCCAGTTCACCAGAGCCAGGAAAATAATTAGGAAGCCTAGAATCCCTATTCTCATGTGGGCCTCTGAGGCCAAGGGTTGGGGAACGGTCTGCAGGGCTGGGAGGGGGGTACATGCTGTGTGGGGTCTGCCCCTCAGTCGGTGACCTCCTCTCTCTCTCCCCAGGAGCCCCAATGGCACCAGCGACGGGCAGAGGGGACTTGTCATTGCCCCCTCCACCCAACCCTGACACCCCACTCCTGGACCCTTCACCCCAGTGGCCTGCAGACCTCAGCTTCTCCCTCTGAACTTCAAGTCTCCAAAGATCAGAATCTCGGGGAGGGGGCATGTGCAGGGAGGGGCTTGATCTCCACGTTTTCTCAGGAGTAGTTTGGGCTTCCCCATCTCTTCTCTCCCCTTGCGAAGAGGTCCCAGATCTGGCTTCTTTCTCAAGGAGGGGTGGGGTGTTCCTTGCATCCCTGTCCTTGAAGGACCTCCTTCCCCCAGCCTTGTCACCGTGCTCTTCCCAGTGCCAGCCTCTGCTGAGATGCCAGGCCACCCTCACCAGCCAGATTGCAACACCAGGGAGAGGCGGCTGCAGAGCCCCACAGGTGGGAAAGTTGCCTGTGGACGGGAGCCTTTTGCTACAATTTGTAACTTATTTTCTAAAGTCTATTTTGTAACAATTTATTTAAGTTTAAAAAAAGGAAAATTGCTGCCCCCCAAAAAAAGAAATTTTCAAAACACATGGCTGGCGTGATTGTATCTGAGAGGGTGAAGGAGGAGGAAAGCTGGGACGCCTGCGTCAGAGCAGAGCTGGGCATGGGAGCATCCACAGACACCCCTGTCCTGCAGGGTTGGGGAGTTGGCACCTGTGGTCCCAGGCACGTTCTTTCTCACAGCTGCTGGGCTTCTGGGCCTGCCCCGTGCCTGGAATCACACATGGCGGGGTGGGGATGGCAGGGCAGTGATGCCAGTTCCCTCCCTATGTTCTCTCGTCAGAACGGCCAGGTCCCCTGTCAGCAGCTGGCTGGTTGGCCTGTGGGGAAGGAAGGAGGGTGGGGTTGTCCTCATCCTCATGGCTTTGCTCCCTTGCTCCCCATTCCTCAAAGGAACAGGGTCTGTCTTGGCCGCCATGACACATGAGAATACTGAGGCTAAAGCAGTTGAGTGGCCTGCTCCGAGTCACACGATGACAAAGAACCAGAGTGAATCAAATGGGTCTACCTGTTGCTCCACCCACCCAGGGCAGCTAGAGTGGGTCAGAATGGCATGCCCCCTCGCTCGAGAGAGAAGGGTTCTGGAGAGACCGGGTTTGGCAGGAGGCCTCAGGGCTACATACTTATGTTGGCCGGGCAGCTTCCAGTCTCAGTCTCGGGCTCTGGCTCCTCGGCGAAGTAGACCTGCCAGTCCAAACTGCTGACCCAGTCCTCGTAGGCAGGGAGTGCAGTGAAGACTGCCGGCCTGGCAGGGCCTTGGCAAGCATCTCCGAAGCTGTGCAGCCCGGCCAGGAACCATGTGCCCCTCACCTCATGCACCAGTGGTGCCCCAGACAGGCCCTGTCAGATCAGGTGACACCGGGTGACTTCTTGTAGGCAGCTGTACAGGATGGCAGAGGGGGCTAGGGAGGCTCTGGCTATTTGGGGGCTAATTGGCAAAAAGGCCTAGTTTCAGGTGGGAGGCGGGGCCAGAGGCCAAACCTGGAAAGTCTGTTCTTGAGAACAGGGGTGACGGGGTGCCAGAGGCCTATTGGGCAAGGCATTGGGGCCTGGGCTCACCTCACAGCTGGGCAGCTCACCCACAGCACTGGTACACACCATCCCTGGCAGAATGGGGCTGCCATCGCCCCCAGGAGCTGCATGTAGCCGGCTGCAGGCCCTAGGCCCCAGGAGGGTTACGGGCACTGTCTGGGGGTAGCTGATGTCTGTGGAGCAAGGGAAAGCTGTCTGCCCCAGCCTGCAGGCAGAATGGACAGCGGCCCTGGTCCTGCACCCACCTACCTGCTTCTGGGCGGGCCCGTCCCAGGACCCAGCCACGCCCCCCATCAGGCAGGTGGTGGTCGGCATAGGGCAGGCAGAGGGGCCGCAGGTTGGCACCCAGTGTCACAGGCTGGGCCAGCAGCAGGAGGGCCACATCATAGCCCCCCTCAGGGTGGGTGTAGGCCCCGTGCAGGGTGAGCTGCTTCAGGCCCCATTCCTCCGGTCCGGTCCCCAGCCCTATGCTCCATTCCTCTGGGGCCTGGCGCCTGTGTAGAGGCAGTGTGGATGGCACTGGGTGACAGGGCTGCCAGCAGGGGCGGGGGGCATACCAGAGAGGGACCCAGGACTCACCCGATGAAGCAGTGGGCAGCAGTCAGCACCACCTCTTCCGACACCAGGGCTCCGCCACAGGCCAGCTGCCCCTGGTGCATCAGCCTGGCATCCCAGGGCCATGGGGAGGGTACTCCTGCCTGAGGACCTGCTGTCCTCAAGGATCCGCAGGCTGAAACAGATGAGTGCCTCATCTGACTTCTTGCTAAGTGCTTCCCACTTCCTGTCAGATCCTCATAATATCCTTTGAAGCTAAATTTTGTTCACCTCATTACTGAAGGTAACCAAAGTTCTAGAGAGGTTAAGCGACTTCCTCGCTCTTTAACTACAAGCAAGTGGCAGGCTTGGGATTCACAAGCTTTTAGCCCTGCCGGCCTGATGGGACCCCGTCCCGGCCTTGTCAGAATGCCCCTACTTGTCACACTCCCCTGCCCCACCCGTCTGTATCCTCCAGGCTGGGCCTGGCTCCCATATTCCTGGCTCATTAGTGTCTCTCTTAAGACATAATATCCATCCCAGGAATTATTTTGCATTCAATTTGCATGCCAGTCACTTAATACTGGAATTCTGACTGGAAGCCCTACCCTGTGCAGGCTTGCTGAGTCCCTGCTGGAAGCTTGCCACTCCCCCAAAAACCCCAGTAAGGTCTCAGAGATTCCTCTTCTCACCTGAACTCCAAACCTGTAGAGTTCCAAAGTGCCTGTGCCTCTCAGCCCTAATGGGGCTGTTCCTTCCCGGGGAATGAAAGAAGTCTTAGAAGGCCCCAGTTAGGCTCGGCGATGTGGATGCCTATGCTGGTTCTTTAGTCCTAATTGAGGTTTGCTTCACAGTGACTTCTACCCACCCCCAACATACCCCGCTCGTACCTACACAGCTGTCCTCATCACTCAACTCCGGGGTCTCTGGGCTCTGGGGCAGGAAGGCCGCCCCCTGAGCTCGAGTCTGTAGCCAGGAACTGTGAGCAGCCATGTTGGTCAACAGCACGGGAGTGTCCTCCTGGGCACAGCTTGATGCAAAGCTGATGATGCCAGTCTGAACCCAGTGTCCATCAGGCTCGAGGCATAGCACAGGGCCCCCGGAATCTCCCTGGAGCCAGGCAACAGAGCCAAGGACAGATGCCTGAGCCAACTGTGGCAGACACCCTCTGGACTGCAGCCCTTTCCCCTAGCCCTGTGAGTCCAGCACCCAGGCCCCTCCCCTTCTGTTCCTCTCCTCCCCATCAAACCTGACAGGGCCCCTGCACCCCAGGCTGGGGGCCCCCACACAGCATCCCAGGCCGGGCTGGGTTGGACAGGTGCCGCTGGTGCAGCTGGTTATAGATACAGTTACATGTGGGGCGGCTGATGAGACGCAGGCGCAGGTTCCGTAGGGTCCCAGGAGCTGGTGAAAGAGACAGGGCTACGGCTGGAGTCTGGGAGACTGAAGCCAGGACAGTTGGGAGCCAAGATTGACCTTGGGCAAGCAGAGTGCCTCTCTGAGCTTCAGTCTGGTCTAGCACTTACCATCACTGGTGTCCTGATCCCAGCCAGTGGCCCAGCAGGAGGCTCCAAAGGGGAAGCGATGGGAAGGCTGGGGCAGGCAGAGGGGTGTGTGGGTTGTGGGGTGGGCAAGCCGCAGCAGGGCCAGGTCTGAACCCTGGCTGTAGTGGTTATAGGCCCTGGGCAACTGCAGGGCAGCCACTCCCACCTCTTCGGCCCCGGGGCTGAGTCCCTCACGCTGCAGAGAACCCAGGACTACCGACCAGGAGTTCAGTTCTGTTGCTGCCGCCCTGGAAGGGGAAGGACAAGGTCCAGGCTGCTGAGTGCAAGGAGAGGCACTGACACCATGGGACATCCCACAGGTAGGTGGATGATAACAGAGAGCAGTCCATGGCTTTCTCTTTTTGAGGTGGGATCTCATCCTGTTGCCCAGGCTGCAGTGAAGTGGCATGACCATGGCTCACTGGAAGCCTTGACCTCCCAGGCTCAAGTGATCCTCTCACATCAGCCTCATGAGTAGCTGGGACTGCAGGTGTGCACCACCATGCCTGGCTAATTTTACATTTTTTATAGAGACAGGGTCTCATTATGTCGTCCAGGCTAGTCTTGAACTCTTGGGCTCAAGTGATCCTCCTTCCTTGGCCTCCCAAAGTGCTAGGATTACAGATATAAGCCACTGTGCCCGGCCACAGCCTGTGACTTTAAGCTACGTCCTTCCCTTGAAACCTCAGTTTTCTCATTTGTAAAGTTTCTACCATGAAAGGTGGTTTTAACGATTAATGACAATATGTACCCAGTACATGGCAGATTCTCAGTAAATAGTATTTTATTATTACTCTGGAGGCAGGGACTAGCCTTGTGGGGCTTGGGACAAATTGTTCACTCCACAGAACCAGAGATCCTGCCTGGCCCCAGCCATGACTTACTTTTCAAAGCAGTGGGCAGCAGTGAGGACCCAGGTATCTGCCACCAGGGAGCCGCTGCATATGTGAACTCCCTGCCTCCTCACACTGGCCTGCCAGGGCCACTCGCCAGGAAATGTGTTGCCCTCCTGAGGCTCGGGGGGACCGGGGCCACGCTGTCCACAGGCTGTGGAGGGTGATGGGTCACACTGACAGCAGATCCCTGTCCTGACTTCACCCCAGGTCCAACCCAGACCCAAGTAAGGCCCAGGCCCCGCGTCCCCCAGACCTTACCACGCTGAGCGGCTTGAAGACCTGGGAAGAGAGACACACAGGTGAGACACAGGGACGCCAGGCCTGCCTGGCTTTGGGGAGGAGAGGGGATGGGCTGGGGGGCGGGCCCAGGGTCCTTGCCTGTTACTGTGATTACCTCACCAGCCCCTCCCAGAATGAAAATATTTATATGAGGTCGAGACAGCTTTTATTGGAACCTATTCAGCGTGTATACTCAGTAATTAATTCTCCTTCAGCTGTGCTCAGCACTCCAGGGCTTGGGGTTCAACCTGGGAGTAGGCCAAACCTCCTCCGGGCTTCAGAACCCCCAACTCCTGCCCCCACCACTGAGTCAGGGAGGTGGCTCCTGTGTGTGGAGAGCATTAGCTTAATTGTCCCCTCAGCAGCAGAGGCCTAAGAGGAAGGATTAGAGGCCTGCGTCATTTCCAAGGCGGGGGAGCCCCAAGAAATGGAGACTTACCTCATTCCTGCTCTAGAGACTCAGTCTTCCCCACCTTCCCAGAAACTGCCTGAGAGCCCGCCAGAGAGAGGGCCACTGCCTGCCACCACCCCCTCACGGGCATACAGGCACACAGGCACCTCTGTGAGACAGCTGAGCCAGGCTTCCCAGAGGATGGATGAAAAGAAAGGGAAACTTGAGGCCAGAGGCACCCAGAGTTTGCCTGAGGTCATTGTGGAAGTCAAGGCAGAGATGGGCACAGGACACACACAGGCAGCACCACACATATAAGACCACAGGCCCTGTCGATGCAAACTAGCTGGCCCGAGAAAACCTCACCTATGTAGACACAGGTGGCCACATACCCTGCCCCACAGAGTTCCACAGAGTTCCATCCCCACCAACACACTGTTGCCCACAGGTAGTGCCCCCACCAAGGAGCAGGGACTGCTGGGGCAGAGGTGGCCCCTGAGCCCCCAGACATGGTAGCTCACCCTCCATGAGGACCATGGTACCCATGATGAGCAGCGCTGGGCCCCAGCTCCACTTCATGCTGCCCCGGGCCACTCTGCTGCGTGTGCTCTGCTCTCAGAGGCCACCTGGATCTCCCTGGCTCCACCTCTGCTCCACCCCCCAGTTGGCTAGGAGTCAGCTGTCTACTTGTCCTAGCCAGCAGTTCCTAGCTCTGGCTGTGCGACCCTGGGCTCGTCACCACCCCTCTCTGGGCCTCAGCCATGGAGCCAGACTGGGTTTAAATCTGTTTCCTTACTACTTAAGTAGCCTGGGAGAGAGAAACTCAGTTGTTGAATGGAAAACACCTTGATGATAGCCTGGCACAGGGTGAGCTCGCTCCCAGCATGAAAGCACCATCCTGGAACTGAGGAGGGCATATGGGCAGCTCCTCCCGGTCCCTGCTTTCCATGTCTACTCCCCCACTTCTCTCCCAGCCAGGGCAGGTGGGTTTTACATGCCCCTCCCAGGTCTACTCAGAGACAGTGTGTGCAAGGCTGGGTGTTGAGGGGCCAGTGCCCACAGCCGCTTGCTGGCTGTGAGCCTTTGGCAAATCCCAGTACCTCCCTGGGCCTGCTGCCTTCCCGGGAAACAGGGTGACAGTGGTGCCCACCTTCCTCACGGGCACTGGAGGACTCGGTCAGGCGGGAAGAACACTTGGGCACGTGCCTCCTCTTCCCATTCCCAACTCAGGCTGGCCCAGACTGGTCCAGGACCCTGACCCCAAGACAAAGGCAGCAGTGGGTAGGGTTTAGCATATAGATGCTGGAGCCAGATGGACCAGTTGGATTCAAATCCTGAGAGCCTCCTGCTGTGTGATCTCAGGCAAACTACTTAGCCTCTCTGTACCTGAGTTTCCTCATCAAGATAGGGATAATAATAGTACTCATGATTAAACGAGTTTAACATGTTAACACAAGTTGTTATTTTTTTTTTTGGAGATGGTCTTGCTTTGTTGCTCAGGCTGGAGTGCAGTGATCATGGCTCACTGCAGCCTCAACCTTCTGGGCTCAAGTGATCTTGTCAGCTTTCCGAATAGTTGGGACTACAGGTGCATACCACCATGCCCGGCTAATTTTATTTTTGTTTTGTAGAGACAGGGGTCTCACTATTTTGCCCAGGCTGGTCTGGAACTCCTGTCCTCAAGTGATCCTCCTGCCTTGGCCTCCCAAAGTACAGGGATTTCAGGTGTGAACCACTGCACCCAGCCAACACAAGTTCTTAAACAGTGCTTGGCATGTAGGTAAGTGCTCAGTGCATATTAGGCAATATAAAAACCTTCACAACCTGGCTGTGGCCTTCTGGGGCTACCAGGACTAGCTTGCGATGGTTTATAAGGCAGCTGGTGGGGTTAAGGTTAAACTCAAGGAAGAACTTCCCAGCAAGCATTCACAGAACCAGAAAGGCAGCCTACCCTTGCAGGTGTGTGCTCAGCCTTCCCTGGAGAGGAGGCCTGGCTCCTGTGCGCAGCAGAAACAAGCTGCCAGCCTGTTTCCTGGTAGTGGAGGCTGATGGTGCCCAGGCCTTGCTGACTTCACACACTGGAGATGAGAATACCCATAACCACCCTTCCCAGCAGGCCCTCCACTCTCCTTCTGACTCACCCTTCCCAGCTCCAGAGAAGGCCCAGCACCACAGTCCCTGGCAGATACATGGTTCAGACTTGGCTGATTTATCTAAGAAACTTTATTGCTCAGAACCTTCCCTTCCTGGGCAATGGCAAGAGCTTTGGAGACCAGCCCCTGGGGACAGAGTCAGAGGCACTGGGTGGAAAAAAGAGCATGTGGCAATTTGGTCCATTGTCATGTGTGGGTATGGGAGAGGGAAGGAGGACTCTAGAAGGCCCCGAATCCAGGGACCCTGCATCTAGGGACCTAGGAGCATTCTAAGGACCTAGATACGCCCCCAAGAGCAAGGCTCACATGCCAAGGCAAAGCAGATGAGGCCAGCCTGGCTCAGGGTGAGGGCTTAGTGCCTCTTAGCCTTGCCCTGGGGTTCTTGGACCTTCTGGAAACTGAGCCACATCAGGCCCATGTTGATGGCATAGGTGGTGATGCAAACGATGCAGAAGTCATAGAGCACGAAGAACAGGATCCAGGCCAGGTAGACAGAACCAGCGAGAGAGACCAGGGAGCTCAGCAGCAGCAGGACAGAGGCCCAGCGTGTCCGCAGGCAACCTGCAAGGCAGAAGAGGAGCTGGTGTGAGTTTCAGGGACTGGCAACATCACAAGACCCAATCTCTATCAAAAATTTAAAAATTCAGCTGGGCACAGTGGCTCATGCCTGTAATACCAGCACTTTGGGAGGCGGAGGCAGGTGGATCACCTGAGGTCATTAGTTCGAGACCAGCCTGGCAAACATGGTGAAACACCGTTTCTACTAAAAATACAAAAATTAGCCAGGCGTGGTGGTGGGCATCTGTAATTCCAGCTACTGGGGAGGCTGAGGCAGGAGAATGTCTTGAACCTGGAAGGTGGAGGTTGCAGTGAGCTGAGATCATGCCATTGCACTTTAGCCTGGGCAACAAGAGCAAGACTTCATCTCAAAAAAAAAAATAAATAAAATTAAAAATTAGCTAAGTGGGCCGGGCACGGTGGCTCACCCCTGTAATTCCAGCACTTTGGGAGGCCAAGGTGTGTGGATCACGAGGTTAAGAGGTCGAGACCATCTTGACCAACATGGTGAAACCCTGTCTCTACTAAAAAATACAAAAATTAGCCAGGCGTAGTGGTGCGTGCTTGTAGTCCCAGCTGAGGCGGAAGAATCACTTGAACCAGGAGGTGGAGGTTGCAGTGAGCTGAGATTGTGCCACTGCACTCCAGCCTGGTGACAGAGCAGTGAGACTCCGTCTCAAAAAAAAAAAAAAAATGGATGCGGTGGCATGTGCCTGTAGTCCCAGCTACTCAGGAGAACCGCTTGAGCCAGGAGTTCCAGGTTACAGTGAGCTATGATTGTGCCACTGCACTCCAGCTTGGGCAACAGAGCAAGATCTCTTAAAAAAAAAAAAAGAGGCCATGTGCGGTGGCTAATGCCTGTAATCCTAGCACTTTGGGAAGCTAAGGTAGGCAGATCACGAGTTCAAGAGATTGAGACCTTCCTGGCCAACATAGTGAAACCCTGTCTCTAACTAAAAATACAAAAATTAGCTGGGCATGATGGCGCATCTGAAGTCCCAGCTACTCGGGAGGCTGAGGCAGGAGAATCGCTTGAACCGGTAGGCAGAGGTTGCAGTGAGCCAAGATGGCACCAATGCACTCCAGCCTGGGCAACAGAGCAAGACTCCATCTCAAAAACACACACACACACACACACACACACACACACACACACACACACACA